CTCTGCTGGTTGTGTAGACATTGTACTAATTACAACGATTAACTCCATAAACCAGACATGTTCATTAAGCAAGAAGTAAAAGAAGTTTCTTTTTTTTTACCTCAGAATAGAAGGAAAAAAAGAGAATTTCAAGATGAAAGGAATGATTTAGCACTGAATGAGACTTGAAGGAAAAAAAAGTGATGTCCATAATAAAATCAAAAGGAAATAAGGTACAAGATTAGAAGTTATTCTCAAACACTATACACCAATGGAACTCAACATCTTATTCTCTCAAAACTCTGTAAATGAAAATAACTAGCTGACTTCCTAACCTTAAAATAATGCTTTTTGTCTAATGTATGAAAAGGGGATTATTTTGAGATAACAATTCAAGTACAGTTTATGAATTTTCCCACAGTATGTACTCACTAAAAAATAAATAATATCTACAATAATATGAAATATATATAGAGAGAGTATCTCTTGAATTGTATTAGCAAAGCCCTATCTATTGTCTTCACCAGGAAAATAGCCTAATTGTCCATGTCCAACATTCTTATTACAGTAAACTATGTACACCTAAATTATCTGAACCAAAAGTTTTGAACTTCTCTTATTATGTCACAGTCCCACCTCCAACCTTGAATCCCAATGACTCACATTGATGGTTATCAAATTAAAGGAGGAGTTTTGTGATTAGAATGCTGGGATGGGATTCCTTGTGCTTTATTATAAATGGATATACCAAGGTACACAAAGGAAAACTGATGCCTAAGCAAAATTAGAAAAAAAATACAGCATTACACAAATTGCTTTGATGTTGTGCTTTATTTTTAAATTTGAACGATATTATTTTAAAAATCATTATGAGTTTTTATAACATAACTGTTTATTTTTTTTTAATTTCACTTTAAATTGTGTTCTAAGGAAAAGTCCTTTCTTCCCTGGAGAAGTGGGAATGTACTTAAAAAATGTAGGATTTTTCATTTTTACATGTGGTTCCAGGATTCAGATTTATGTTTGATCACAATTTTTAAACTATTTCTGTCTCATGGTTAGAAAGTATGTTTCTCACCCATTTCCCATGGTTGATTATTTCTTTCCACTGAAGCATCTTTATTCACTGAATGTCTGACTTTTACTCATAGAAATCCTAATACATTTTTAATTGCACAATTATGTGTCTAGCCACTGTGCCTTTTTTTTTTTTTCCCACTGATGGAGAAACCAAGGCTCAAACAACTCAGAGAGCAATTAGTAACCTCACAAACTCCAATTCTTAGTCTTTCCCTTATAGATTACCCTAGACCCCTGATAATCTTATTTATCTTTGTTCAGTAAATCTGCACTCACGTTTATGTCAAAACATTTCCAAATCTAAGAAATGGATACTCCTCCAAAGTTGTTTTTCACTTAAATTATGTGCATCTAAAATGTCACAGGCCTCTGTATAATTGAGGTTTATGGCAGTGCATTCTCAATACAATTTGAAAGTTCCATTCATTAAATATATTTTTCTCACCAAAAAGACACACAGCTGATCCCAAAAAGGATGACAACCTCTTTGAGAAACTATATAATAAAGTATTTTCCTTCCTAACTTTAAAATACACTGTATTTCCTATTGATGTATCTTTGTTAAATTGAAAATAAGTGTCTAGAAAATATTAACCCACATAAGAAGAATCACATAAACAAGATTGTGGAAGAAAAGGGAAAGTCAAAATGTGATAAAATCTGTAAGAATTTAGAAAACATAATCTATAATATAGAAATTCATATATTTGGATAATTGGAATTAATTATATGCTGCACTTCCTAAACTTACATGCCAAAGACAATTCTGTGATTATCTACAGCTATAACATCTTTGTACATTAAGGAAATGTGAAATGTTGAAAAACTTAAAATGAAAAATGTTGTAATAATATTTCATAGTTGAATAATGGAGACTGATGGGTAAAAACATAATACTTTTAAATAAACACCATTTAGAGGTAAGGTTTTATGTATTGGACAATTGTCATCTGAAAATCTCCTTCCAATTTAGAAATTAAGAACACATGATCAGATATTTATAGAAATGGAAAATAAATAAATTTTAGGTTTATTATAAAAATCAAATGACAATGCTATGGAGGTTTCAAAAAATAAATATGAGGACTTCCAAACACCACAGATAAGAAAAATTACACCACTTATGTGTGACGTAGCACAATTCAAGTTCTCATTAGAAGAGGTTTAATGAAACTTGAATGCAGGAAGAATTTTAAAAACACAAAGACTAATATAGTAAAATGATATTGAAATAAGTTTCTTGGGGGGAGAGTTGAAAATTAAAGAGAAAAAATTTTGAAACATAGTAGAGATAATAATAGGGTTTTCAAAGAAGGGATTTCCAATATAAATAAACCCGGGGGAAAAAAGAGTCAGTTTTATTTTAGATAGAAGTGGACATATTCAGTGTGGGATCTGGGAAGGGGGAAGCAATTTGCATACCAAAGGGAATTTATTTAAATCAAGACTTTTCTGAATATTTTTGAGTTAAAATAGAATTACATTTGTTAGCGTGTTATCCACTATCTCTACTTAACCCTATTTAAATTATATCTGAACCAATAGGAAGCTAGCTTCTAACACAATTTAAAGGACGCTCTATTGAGGAAAGCATGTTAGTGTGTCTATGTGACTACGCCATCCACGATGGGACATACAGCTAATGCCATTCAGGAACCCTTAGTAAGTTTGCAGTTAATTTTCAAGGTTTTTTATAAAGAACACAGGTTAAACAGAAATGCTGTGGAGAAAATAATCAGTCTTTGGAAACCTAGAGCTTCATTAAAACATTAAATTAATTCAAAATAAAAGATAACGGTAATAATCATGGGGTACTCAATAAATATTTGAGTTATTAAGAAACTATTATATGGAAACCTGGTTATGACTTCTGTATGGTAATTTTTGTTCTCTTTCATTGGCTTTAATCTAGATACCAGTGATATGAAATGGTAGCCTAGTACAATGTAAAACAGGATGATTAGCATTTCATGCTAGGGCATGTCTTTCAAGTTGTCAGAATTATGAATTTTACAGCTATTTAAGTTTGCTTCTTAGAGGGCTTTTTCTTTTTTAGCCCAAATTTGTTTATAGTTGTCTAGGTAAAATGTTATTTGGACATAATGCAGTTAGAAAAATCAGGCCTAAATCAGGGAAGTTTTAAAAGGATACATGTAAAGGTGGATTTTTATATAATAAAACCTTTCCTTGATCATATTATAAAGTCATAGCTTCCATTTTCTTAGGCCACTTTATTTCCTCTACATTATGTAGATACAGATTACACCAAAAATTACCCTCTTTTGAACTCCTTTTCTTGAAGAAAATTGAAAAAATGCATACCCCATAAAACACTTCCTTTCTATTTTACTGCAGTGAATTCACTGTTAGGCTCTTTTTCACTCCTGAATCCAGATAGGCAATGCTAGAAAATCAAATTGAACCTGAAGTTACTTAATAAAAGTCAATATAAGATCAGCAAGTGGAATATTGAAAATAATAATTAAATATACAAATCTATTGGCAGCTTTGCCCTATTACCTTATAATGCAAAACAACCCTATCTAAGGATACCAGTTTCATGAAACCATACTACATAAAGCAAATGAAGTATCATTTTATTTTTCAGATAGATCATGTTTTTTCCTCCAGGTTATACATTTAAACATAAAATACTTTATTTCTATTCAGATGAGGAAAAGCCATCTAACTGAAAGATTCCATGAATCTAGTAGAAAAGATCACCACATGAGTCAAAGATGAGAGTCTTTTGAATTCCTGCCATGCCATCTGTTTTAACTCATTGCAGAGGAATTAGAGCCAAAAAATCATACGGCTGGAAAACCCCAAAAGGAAGGGGTCAACCCAGAGAGATAAAGAAGCTCCACAACAATTTTTTTTCAATAGAAGGAGTCCTCTGATTCCTGAAGTACACAAAAATTTTAGATATTGAAGTTGGAAATTCAACAAAATATTATTTCAAAATTTAAAAGTGACAATGTTTGAAACTGGTAAGATTCAAGTTACTATGCTCTGGACAGCTATTTTAAAAAATATATATAAAAGTAATTTTCTATGCATATTTAATTTTCAATTTTAAAAATACAGTATTTTATGATGTGTAATGTATTCAGTTATGAGAAATGCATAGATTTAAGAGCATATTTGCATTCCTGCTTCCATTCAAATTAACTACATTAGCAATAGAAATTATAGATTTTTCTACAGTGGGTTTTGTCTAAAATCTTTACTTTTAAGTTATTATTTTAGGGATTTTTATTACAGTAATACTCAATAGACTATTATAAATGCCAAAATACCAATCACATTAATCTGTTACTACTATTGTCAGAAATCTTATTGATAGGATGCATATAGATAGGTTACTGGTCTTCGAAATATAAATTAATTCTTGAAATTTGTATTCCAGAAAACAGTATGTGGCCTAAATAACATTTCAGGTATTAACTATAAGCTACCTAAAGTCACCATATTAAATTTGTTAAGTGCCTAAGACTTAAGACTACTATAAAGGAAAACATTAAATGAAAAAAGAAAAACAGATAAATGGAAAAATGTAACACTGGCAGTGCTCACAATTCTCTTAACAGGAGCTGATACACTACTGAGAATGAAATGAATTATTTACATAAGTAGTCTGAGGATAAAGTACACTAAACCCACATAATATTAATAAACATCGTAGAAGCTACATTTTCATTAAAACTGCATCTTCATAATAATCTTGTTCTAAATAGTTTTTTCAAGTTAATACATCAAATACTATATCTCACTTATTCAAAATTATGCCTGTTAATAAAAACAATGGATAATAATCCTAACAAGGTTAATTAAACTAGCAATAGCAAACACACTGTATATGAAAATGGATTTCAATTGATGGAGAGTCTATTTACAACTGCAGGTTTTCTTCAGTGTTTTGTGGTACAGCTTTAGGAAGCATGTCTATTTGCTGAAGCACTTTACTAAAGTAAAGCATGACATCTGTTACATATTATCTTTTAGAGGTCATAATATTCTTTATTTTGAGCACTGTGCTATAAAAACCAACTAACTTTTCTATTGTAATTTAGTTATTATCACATTATTGCCTCAGCAAGGGAATGACCGTTTTTGCTTATTCAAATTACCATTTATTAATGCAAAATATATTTTGCTTCTATCGCAAAATCCAGCTGTATATACCAAAATCATTTCACATATCAAAAGAGACAAAGGAATTCATTAAACATACCTTGATATGGAGCACTAAATCCACGATATCGGTGATTGCTGTCTGTAACAAAATGCAGTCTTAGCCAGTTTTTGTTGCTGATAATTGGTGGTGGTATATTCATTCCAGATAACCTGAATTATAAAAGACAACAACAAAAAAATTTTTAAAAACTTTTCAGCAGTAAATGTTTTCACTGAAGTGGGACCCCAAAAAATGTCTACCTGTATACAATATTCATGACATTTCATTTTTAATTTTTAAATACTAATAAATTAGTTATTTTATGCATAGGAAAGTCAATCAGAGAATGGTGCAACTCCAAACGTGCTTTCCAATCAGGTTGCATATATTAATAAAATAAACTGTGAACTGGATATAATTTTTGATTCACCCAAATTTATTGCCTAGATAATAATAAACATAATGGAGGCTGAGCTAATGGTGCTGGTCCTTATGCTCCTCAATAATACATTGATATGGTATAGTTAGAAAATGGGCTTCAAAGCAATTGATATACTCTTTCCACTTAATATATTTTCCAAATTTCATATTCTATGGCAAATTTCCTAATTTCTTTTCATAGGGCAAGCACTCTTTTAATGTGATTTCCAATACTATAAATTTTTGTGATTAGCTTTCATTATAATATATAGTTCTATAATGCACTAGAGGTCTGCCCCAATTGACAGACAGAAAACAGATTGTATTTTGGATGTGTATTTATTCTCCATATATTTAGTCACAAAGGTACCATTTCATAGTCTCCTTAAAGCAAGGTAGTTAGAGTAAAACTTTGAAACTATGCCCCAGATACTGGTCATGGTCAACAGATGAAGTAACTCTCTTGTTCTATATCTTTTGAAGATTTCCAGGGAAGCAGTTTCTCTAATTTCATTCAATAAAGGAATATTACACCCATATACACACTCATTTAAATCCTAGGTGTGTGCAATAAAGCCAAGGTAAAATATTCTCAAAAGCTAGACTACTACATACTGAAGAAGAGTTATTTGCTAAGGTTTCCTAATAACCAGTATATGATATATCTCTACTATTATGCAAAACTTTTGCTTTTCTTCATCATACAGCAAAATAGCTGGTGTGTGTGTGTGTGTGTGTGTGTGTGTGTGTGTGTTGGGGGTAAATGATTACAATTCTTCTCTCGGTGCTTTGCAGGCAGTCACTCTAGGGGACCCATAGGAGGACACTGGAATATACGTTGTACACATTAATCACTGTTGAGATGCAGACATGGTGATCCAAGGACCCTTTATACAACATGTTCCCTTATTTCCCCCAAAACCTACTTTCCCACGATATTTTGGAACTAGCTATCACTTTCTGTGGATGACTATCTGCCATGCCATACAAATATGAATTCACCTTTACTGTATCATTGTGGGCAGATGTGTCCGCACACGTGTATAGATAGAATGGTCTTCGCAATATTACTGTGTGATCCAATGTTCATGATTCTAACATGAACAAGATGGGCTCTATCACATACATTTCTCATCCCTCCTTCCACTTTAGAATGCATCTTCTCTAACTTTTCCCTGTCAATGCTCTATTTTCTCTTTTCATAGCAGTGACCCTATTTATTGATGTAACTGGCTCCTTTTTCATATCTGAATTTAGCAAATAAATATATGTATATAACTTTATAATGTTAAGACTCAAGTTTTAAATTTTTACTTCTTTACTTTCAAAACTATCCAGGTTATGTTTACCTTTGCTTGTTGGTTGGTTTTGTTTAAAAAGCAATTCAGTGAGAAAGTATTTAGATTTGGTACAATTATATTTTCAATAGACTAGCATGTTTCATGCCAGGTTTTGATTTACAATTTGGTTCTCCTCACTTCCTTGATTTGATGCCCAAAAATATCCAGTAGGGAAAGTTTAAATTATTTTTGACAGTCTGCACACGTTTCTAAGTATAATGAGACTATAATACATGGATGGTTGAAATACATTAAAGTACAGAGTTTGGAGAGAGGCCCTTAGAAGATCCAATAAATGAGAAACAATTCAGCAAAGACAACAACAAAAGTAAGAGAGGAGAGAAGATGGAACAGGCAATAAAAAGGATAAACTTCCCATCTTTCCCAGGGACATCAAAGATAATTTCAGCAATAGAGGGTAGAAAAGACAAGTAATAGCTACTATGGAACTATAGTTTGCAACTGAATTCACCTTCAGGAATTGAGAAAGGTGGAATTGAAGATATTAGAGTTGCAGTAGCTAGAGGCACAATACACATGAGATGGAGCAAATAATGGCAATTTAACAGGGGTGCAAATAAGAAGATACTCCTGACAGCCTCAATGTTTCAGCTTATGAAGCAGAACTATAGGTAAGCCAAGACACTGACCATAAAGCAAGTTCACCACAGTATCTCTCCTTCTAAATGATAGTCCGCTAGTATTGAATATTATTAAAGATAATTTATACAGTATGGCTTTGTCTATGTCTTATAGAGCAATCTGGAAAATGCACGTACATATTTCTGCACCATATTTCATATGCTATCAGGACATCTTAGAAATGGAGGATTGAGAATAAATGCTGCCTAGAAAGATTCCATTAAATTAATTAATTTAGATAATTTATTAAATATGAAAGGAGATATTTCCTAAATATAACTCATTGTTAATCCTGATACTAAGGGTTGGAAATATAGTAGTAAATAAGACAGACAAGATCGACAATCTTGCAAAGTGAAAATAAAGAAGGTAACATAGATAAATCAATAAGATAATTTCAGATGGTGGCAAATGATGTACAAAAACATTAAATAGTAATATGATAATGTCTAGAAATGAGGTTTCAGTTGTTCTAATGTCCTTTCCATTTTATACTCAGAACAGCCACACTCATGATTCTGTTTTAAATTGCTAAACTGGACTTTAGGAGAATTAAATCAAAGAAAATTATGATAATGATAAATGTCATAAATTTACAACCTACTATTGTTATTTGTATCCAAGAAGAATTCAAAACCTGTCTTTTGAGTAATTAATAAATTGGAATGGACATAGTAAATTAATAACGACATCAAATTTCATTGACTATTCAATGTAGAAATACAATAATACTGTGTAACTTGCCAATATTAACCTTTACAAAATTTTTTATTTATATAATTTCCTGCAGAAAAGTAACTAAATCATAAACTGATACTTATTTCTTTTAGTAAACTAATTTAAAATCACATGGAACATATTCTATTGTAGATAGTGCCTTAGAGAATATGATTGTAATTGGTACAAAAAAATCAGTAAGTGTAAGAAACCTGAGAGAATCACAAGTCTTTACCAGTTTTTAGAAGTGTCAAAATCTATTTTAAGCCTAGGTCTTTGGTTTATAACTCTCCTGTCAGATCCTTAGTGCTGTCATCCGTTGACCTCTGGTTCTCAACTCTCTTAAAGTTAACACTTGCAACAACAGGTGTCCCCTTTGTGGCTTTAACATCTTTTTTTTTTTTTATATCTTTCCAATGCCCTAAAATCATTCACACCTAATGACCTGTCTTTCCTCATCTTTAGTACCCTCAGGCACAATCTGACCTCAAACCCGTAATTATTCAAATCATCAAAAACCTCACTCTCCCAGCACAGCTCTCCTGCACTCTCCTAATTTTACTTCTTTCTCTCTCCTGCCCTCTCTCCCTGTCTCCCCTTTTCCCTCTTTTACTTTTTTTGACCCAATTCTTTCTCTGGCTTCCTCTGTTCTCCAAGATTTTGTGAGATCAATTGTCCTACTTTGACCTGTAAAAAATTCCTAGTATGTATTCTTTCATCTTAACTCAAGACCTTTCCATGAATATCTCTTTAAGGCTAAAATGTCTTTATATATTTTTTACCTTCATTTGCTTATCTAATCATTCTCAGTGAAGCCAGTCAAAGTTTCAAGGTTGAGATAAATACCAAATCTAGCAAAAAACCTCCACATCCAGATATTAATAGAGAATTCTACTAAACATATAAAGAATTAACAATTTTACCCATTATTTTCCAGAAAACAGAAGAGGAGGGAACACTTCTCAACTCATTTTACAAGGTTAGTATTACACTCTTGATAAAACCAGACAAGGTCTGTACAAAAACAGAAAATAAATAAAACTAAAAAACAAAAACAAACAAAAAACTTCAGACCAATATCTCTCAATAGATACAAAAACCTTCAGTAAAATATTAGCAAATTGAATTCATCAAGGTATAAAATGAATTACACACCATGACCTAGTGAGATTTATTCAAATTATATAAGGCTGGCCCAATCTTTGAAAATCAATTAATATAATCCACCATATCAACAGGCTATAAAAGAAAATTTAATGATCAAATCAATAGACACAGAAAAAGCATTTCACAAAATCCCATATCCATTGATGATAAAAACTCTCAGCGCCATGAGAGATTATGGACTCTGAGAAACAAAATGAGGGTTCTAGAGGGGAGGGGGATGGGGGGATGGGTTAGCCTGGTGATGGGTATTAAAGAGGGCACGTATTGAATGGAGCACTGGGTATTATATGCAAACAATGAATCATGGAACACAACATCAAACACTAATGATGTAATGTATGGTGATTAACATAACATAATAAAATAAAATTGTAAAAATGTAAAAAAAAAAAAAACCACCTCTCAGCAAATTAGGAAGAGAGGGAACATCCTCAACTGGATAAAGAACATGTACAAAAACCTATAACATTATACTTAATATTGAATTACTGAATGTTTTTTATTAAGATCAGGAACACAGTACATGACTCTTATTCAACATTGTGCTAGAGGTTTGGTTGAGTCCATAAGGCATGAAAAATAAATTAAAAGGAATATATCTTGGAAAGAAAGAAATTGTCTGTACTTAAAATGATATGATTATTTATGTAGAAAATCCCAAGCAGTCTACAAAATAAACCCCTAGAACTAATAAGTGCATTCAGCCTGGTCGCTGGATACAAGATGAATTAAAAAAAAATCAATTTCTAAATAATAACAATGAACATGTAGAAATTGAAAAAAATAAAATTGACAATTTTTTGAATAAAATTAAATACTTAGGTATAAATCTAGTAAATCATTTATAGGGTCTGTATCAGGAAAATTTAAAAATGCAATAAAAA